AGCGCTTTCAAAATTGCGGTAATTGAACATTTTTTTCTTATGATTATCTTCAGAATTAATTTTCCCCTTCAAAGAAAAAGAAGATTCATTTATCGTATGATATTTAGATTGACAAGTTCGACAGATTGTGGATTTTGGATTCAGGTCTTATCAATAGAACTGAACCCGTGTGTGCTCCAAAATTGCATGTCTTTGATCTGAAAAACTCAAACCATCTTAAGCAAATTGAAATACCGCATGATATTGCCGTAAACGTCACCACAGGAAAAGGAGGACTTGTATCTCTAGCTGTTCAAGCCATAGATCCTATGAATACTTTAGTAAGTTTAAATTATAATTAAAATTTTAAATTAGAGATTAAATTAGAATTGCACTATGATAAAAATAAAATTCATAACTTTCGAAATAGTAAAATAATTAATAAACTTAGATCAAAGAATTAAAATTTATAATATTATATTATTTCTTTTATATAAAAACAAAATTATTTTATAACTTTCTCTGATGTTTTCCTTTAGCAGAAAAATTAATTAGATTAAGTTAAATTTTTTTATATATCATTAATTTTTATAAAATTTTTAAAACAAATGTATTTTCGATATTCTTTTATTTGAATCATTAGTTAACCATATTTAAATATTTATAATCAATTCTATTATTATGATTGAGAGAGTTAATTTTAAAGAATAATTGAATGACTACTATTTCAAAAGTATGTATTCTAGGAAAAATGATTAGAATCGCATTCAGCGCAAAATTTATAAGACATATATTTAATGAAAGTTATAAAATCAAGGAAAAATTAAAATCTATCGAACAATATTATTAATTATAATATTATTATTATTAATTATATTAATGATATAATAGGTATACATAGCAGACCATAAGGGTGATGCTTTAATCGTCTACGAAAATTCCAATGATGCCTTCCATCGAATGACTTCCAATACTTTTGACTACGATCCCAGATATGCTAAAATGACGATCGATGGAGAAAGTTTCACATTGAAAAATGGAATTTGTGGAATGGCTCTTAGTCCCGTGACGAATAATCTTTATTACAGTCCTCTCGCTTCTCATGGTTTGTATTATGTTAACACGAAACCATTCATGAAATCACAATATGGAGAAAATAACGCCCAATATGAAGGGTAAATATAAAAATAATTTCTTAAATTTTATGAAATAGAATAATGTTAAATAATATGTATTAATATGTTCGTGGAACTTTTTTATAAAATTGATTCAAGAATAGCGTTTCAACTTATTTATTCTTGCATACTATCTTACGCATTCTTAATTATATATTCCTTATTAATTTCAGATCTCAAGATATTTTGAACACGCAATCATTGGCTAAAGCAGTATCGAAAGATGGCGTTCTCTTCGTTGGACTTGTGGGTAATTCAGCTCTTGGTTGCTGGAACGAGCATCAACCACTTCAGAGACAAAATTTAGTTAGTAATTTTTTATTATTTCTCTTTTTCCTCACATTTTTTTGTCATATTTTCTTGACACATTTCTTTCTATCAGACGCTATTATCACTATAATTGAACGTGAATTTTCACATGAGAAGTATATATACACTGCTAGATTTGACAGAAACAGGAGTCACGTGACATGATGCAAACTTGCTTTACTGTAAGATCACGTGATATATATCTATGTAGCACTAATAGTGGGGATAATGTGATGACATATTCTTTTCGTGCAAGAACTCGCAAAGTGTAGTGTACAGTAATAGATAACATAAAGTTAAATGTTTCTAGATTTATAAATATATTTTTTTCTCTTATATATTAATTATTATATATATATTAATATAATTTAATAATTTTCGTTTTTATTTTCTATTATTTTTTTTCTTTCCATAAAATCTGTTTATTTTCTTTTAAAATTATATTTAAAATTTTTTAATGATTTTTAGTGATTTCGGATTTTTTAATCATAACATTGAACAATATAAATTAACATCGAACAAAATATAATTTTGAATGAGTTAGAATTGTACAAATTTTTAGTTAATTTAGTAGATGTTTCAATTTAATCGGATTAAAAATTACTTAACGCAGTTTTTTCTGTAAATATACGTGAGAAATTTATAGTATATTGAAAACATTTGATTAAATAATCGAATTTATGTAATTTATGTTTTCAAAACAACAAATGTTTTATATGACGAAATATAAATAAAAATGAAACTATTTCGAAATTACAGGAACTGGTCGCTCAAAATGAAAAGACACTTCAAATGATCGCAGGTATGAAAATTAAGGAAGAGCTTCCACATTTCGTAGGAAGTAATAAACCTGTAAAGGATGAATATATGTTAGTTTTAAGTAACAGAATGCAGAAAATAGTAAACAATGACTTTAACTTCGATGACGTAAACTTCCGAATTTTGGGTGCGAATGTAAAGGAATTAATAAGAAATACTCATTGCGTAAATTCTAACAATCAGAATAATAACAATCAAAATGTTAACAATCAAAACACTAACAATCAAAATAATAAGAATCAAAATACTAACAATCAGAAGAGTAACAATCAGAATACTAACGATCAGAATGATAATCAAGCTCGTCGTTCTTCAAAATCGCATTAAAATCAATTAATTAAAATGTAAATCAAATATTTTTTAAAATATTTTCTCAATGTAAACCAAATATTTTGTAAAATCTTTTTACATTATATTATAAATAAATAAAATATCGTTTTTGCATAATATTTTTTAAAATTTTATTACCTTATTTTTAAAAATTATAATAATATAGAAATTGTATTTATATTTATATTAATTGATATTTTTAATAAATATATTTAATATGAATGAGCGAATGAATGTAGTGTATCAAGAAATAACATGAATGAAATATGAAGAATAAAATGATAAGAATTAAATAAAACAATTTAAAGAAAATGATTTGTAATGAAAATCAAGTGTAGAAAAAAATTGATTTATTTAAAATAAAACATACTTCATCGTTTTAAACAATTTTATTCGTTATTATTTATATAAAGATATATATCGATTTACATTTATATATAGATATTATCGATTTCACATTTAAATCTTCTTTGATAATTATCTCAATATTAATATATAATTGATAATTCATAATTGATAATTATTGCTTGAATAGAATAAAAAGAAAATGTTCGAGTTCTTTTTTATATTATGTATTTTAATATAATCACTCGTGATTGAGATTATTACTTGCCAATGAGCAAATATTCCCTCTACTATTAAAATCTACTAAAGTCAAGCTGAAGTCAAGTATCGCATTGTGTCACATGACGTGCCTCTGCTTGTACATAGCAATGGTAGTGGGGATATAACGTAACATATTCTACTACTGTTGCAAGGGAATTGAGTTAATGATAGAATGGATAACATATTAAAAATAAATAGAAAAATTAATAATTTCAAAATTATAAGCAATTTTGATTTAATTAATATTAAATATTGTTTCATACTTCCGTATCAAAGATTTAACAAAAGAAAGAAGTTATTTATATAATATATAAATGATTAATTTTTTAACACATGATTATTATTACTCTTTTTATTTATTATCGAATATTATTATTTATTAGAGTATTAATATAGGAAATGTTAATATATATTTATATTTTCAAAAAGTCAATTCTCTAATTCAATATAAATATAAAAGTTAGTCATGGTTTATTTATTAAGTTATGAGAATCTGAGTTTGCATTAAATGAAGAGAACATAACAGAACTATCTTTATCACATCTTTTCACTTTCTTCGTGTAGAACATTAAATTATTTTTAACTTGATAAATAAATTTTAATCGATACTTTTTTTTATATTTCTTTTATATTTCTTTTCATCTCTAAATCGATTTTTCAGGAATATATTAATATCGTTTAAATATCTGTCCAACAATATGTACGTAACAAACATGAGAGGTTAATTACAGCAACTGACTTCGATTATTTTCGATTAAAATCTCGAATATAATACATTCACGATCGATGGAGAAAATTATTCAAAAAAATTTCAAATTGTGTCAATACATCGGAATTTGCAGAATTACAAGATCAAAAGAACAATATACAATATCAATAAATATGATGATAATTGATTTTTAATTTAGAAGCCAGAATATTTTATAGAGAGAATATCATTATTAATGATAAATATTTTCTATTCATTCATTTCTTTTTATTTATATTCGCTTCATTTTTGTTTATATTCGCTGTTATTAAAATGATCTTATTTATTCTTTTTTAATAATCTTACAATTCTTGCATAAAAATTGATAAATCATTTTATCGAAATAATTGATGTAAAATTAATTAAGATCACAAATAAAAGTTACTTCAACGTGATCAATTCAATCAAAAATTACTTCATTTACTTTTTCTATTTAAAAAATTTATGTCCTTTTAAGAAGATATAAAAATTTATACCTTGAGATTTAATTAATACATTTCTATCGCTATTTACAAAAAAATATTTTAGTTATTATTATTTAATTTTATGCAATTGTTTTAATTATATGAAATAAAAATATAGAAAAAGATTAGAAATGTTAATCAAATTCATCGAATACAAATAAATTTCACTTGAAAATTAACTTTATTATTATTATAAGTACGTAATATTATACTTATTATTATAAGTAATTGTTATTATTATTATAAGTACAAGCGATAATAACAGCGTCACATAATAGTTTATTTAGTAACATAGCAATTTTAACAAAATCTTAACAAAATCATTTATTTATTTATTTTTAATAATCATATGAAAAATTATCCTTTCGACGTCAATCAATGGCGTGGTAAAATTTTCGTATTTTAAATTATTATTGCATTCTAATCGTCAAAACACTTAATATTCAATAATTTTCATATTTCATC